GAAAAAAAAATTATTTATAATAATGTAAAATTGAAAGCGTAATACAATTATTTTTTTAAATGTTATTAATGTTAATGATATATATATTAATATCATTTAAAATATTAATTAATTGAACATTACTTTGTATAATTTTGGTGTATTTATATTTTACAACTTCGCTGTTGCATATTGTATAGTGAGTATTAACTATTTTTTACATTAATATATAGAAAATAAATTCAAAATTAATATGTTTTTAATTCGCATGCGAGAAACAATTTGATATCATGTGGCAGCTGTAATTTTACTTCTTTTTCGACCACTTTGCTATTATTCAATCAAATATATGTATATTTCACGACTTAGTGACGGTTAACTTATATATAATTGCAATCATCGTGGATAATTAGACTAATTACCATGACTAATTAAATACGGTCATTGTTATTCTCGATCGAATTGGAGCGGAATATTAATTATTACGGCGAAAGTTTCATTTATCTGTTTCACTACAATTTTTCTTTCTTCGTCTTCTTTTATTCAACTTCATAACATCGTTATTATTGGGTAGCACTCTATGAAATATACGTGTAAAACAACTCTTAACATTTTTACGCTCAAACCAATATCTCGATTTTTCGTATGACATTTTGCGAAAACCTGACAGCATATCTATTACCGGGCAATTATATGAATATGAAAAAATTAATTAATATTATTAATAATTGAAACTCTTTCAATTTTGAATGAATACGGTTAAAATTATAGAAAAATATAATAATTATAATGGAATAGACCACCGCGTTTCGGAAATCACAATTATTCATATGTCATATCTCACTCTTAGCTTATAATGTAGTATTTTATAAAAAACAATTCCTATAATATTTTAATTAACATAAATAAAAATATTATACATTACAAAATAAACTTAAAATAAAAAAAAACGCAGAATAATAAATAACGTTTGAACTTAAATGGCATACAGTGAATAATATATTTGGAAATAAAATATGATTGAAAGGCAAATATTCAAAAAAATTTCGGACGCGGAAGAAATTACAAAATAATGATTTATGGAAGACACTATTACAAACTTTGTAATTAATTAAAGATTATATTTTTATACTCACCGACATGAAGAATCGGCTTAGTCGCCATCTCGTGGAGCAACTGGTCCACATATTTTGAATTCTTAGAATATAACTCCGATCTTGAGATCTGTAGATGAAACTTCTCCAAGGTTGTGCCATTTTTTCTGCGATAAAAAAATATTTATGTCTAGATTTAACATATTGTTAGCATAAAAAATATGTTATACGTGTATCATATATAAAAATTAATTTGTGATTTTTTTGCAATTATACATATAATGCTTCTTAATATTCATAATTTCTTAGAAAATCTCTTTTATAACTTTATTTTAAAAAAATGTAGATTTGATTCTTATTTATAGAGAATGATTTTAAAAAGAAATAAGCTTTTCCACTCTCGACGATTTATTATCGATCGCATCCATTTTAACAGTGAATTGGCAATAACATTTCGTTGTGAAAAAAGGTTGAATGCCAATTGATGCAGGTATCAATTCTAAAAAAACGTTCATGGCGTTGTAAATATTCTCGGCAAATATTTCTGCGCGAACGAGGACAAACGATAAAAATGCAATTCCCGTTGCCATTTTTTCTCGATGTGACAAGATAAAAGAAAAAGATAAGAAATGGCAAAGTAAAGTGTCTAGATAATATTATGAGTGCATAAATATAAATCTGATTGCTTTGTATCACCATAATTTGCAAAGTCAGTGCTTTCAAGAGCTTCTAGTATCAGAAAATATAAAACATTTTCGAAAGACAAGGAAAAATATTCCTTTTTTTTAATTGTCTTAAATTTTTGAGGAAATTGGAAGAGAAAAAAAATATTTCTTACATTTTAATTTTAATATAGTGTCACAAAATTGTAGATATTATCATTCACAAATAGGATTATCATTTGTGTGTGCACACACGCACATACAATATGAACATACATTTATATAATATGTATGATAATGCTATTTACACACATATATGTATATAAGGTACTCGTGTTTTAAACCGTTAAACTTAAAATTTAAATTAATGTCGCGTTAAACAAAAAAAAAAATTTTCTTCTAGAGATATCCTCGTAAATGCTTTGTATTATGGAGATATTAATATTTAATCAAGCGAATGAAATATAAAATACTTTAAAACTGAAATAAAAGTAAAATAACAATTTTTTAAATTTTATGTATCAATCTTATGACAATTTTTTAAATTTTATGTATCAATCTTATGACAATTTTTTAAATTTTATGTATCAATCTTACTATCACGCAAACACAAATTCAAACACAAATATAAGATTGTTACAGTCAAGTAAAAGTGTGCGCTATTAGTATTTGAGTAAGCCAACATTTTTAACATTTAAAAAGATTAAAAATTTTTATTAATTATTGGACAAATAAAATTACATAAAAATTATACTACTTTCTTATTTTACTATTACTCATTATTTTTAAGATAGTTTATTTAATTACATGTTTAGATGTCAATATAAGATCTAAAATAAAGCGCTTGTGCATGCTCCAGAAAAAATTTGTTTTTTATTTTAACCAAAATTCAAGTTTTAAGTTTGGTAGTTTAAGCCGAGAGATTATATATATTATACATATTTTTATATATGTATATATATATATATGTGTGTGTAAACAGAGTTAACATGAATGAATAAAAAAATTAGATATCATCGATATATTATTTGATACTTTATTTATGATTGTGTTTGGCCAAGATGAGACATTCTACGAGAATAATCATCAGAATTTTATGACACGATATTGAACTCTTACAGGATGGCAAAGAGAGATCGAAGAGACGATCGTGAAAACATAATTCGTAGACGTCATTTGGCCATTTCAAAATGCATGGAATGGCGTTCACGACGACGATGGCCTCCGACCTTCGTTTTATATCTTAAGGGTGAGGAGGCCCTTATCCGATATGAGAGGATATCGTTTTGGTTATCTTCCTATATATATGCGTGACATGCGCTTTCCCATCATGATGTTGTTTGTATTTTTAAATATATATGCAAATCAATGGAAAAGATATCAATATGTATATGTAAAAAATTCATCTAATAATATAATTAAAAAATAATATAATAACATGTATAATAAAGCAAAATATAAAAAGTATAATTAACTTTATTTTATATACGACAGTATCAGATTCAAATTGATTAATTTACTGCCAGCACATTGGCAGTCTTTTATTAAAATTCATCTCATGGCCTTTTCGTTGCCATCCTCCTACTCCCAATCCTATTTTCACCTCCAACCTAAAATCTGAACACTTGTCGATATCCAGTTACGACGTGTTTCCAATAAAAATCCACCACTTTCGCTAAATAAATCATCATATCGTCGAGTTGCTGAAACTTTCAGCTACATTCCAATTTTTCGATTTTTCCATCGAATGTACTGGAAAATGCGCAAGTAGATTTATAATTGAAATAATATATTTTTATTTTTATTTTGACACAATTAGATTAATATGTACATTAATTTTATTTTGATAATGATTTCGATTTATTTCATTATTTTTATAATATATCAATCTATTTTACATTTAATTACTTTATTTTTAATCAAATTAATGTAAAATCGAATTAATGTTAATTAAATAAATTTGTTTTATTATTTTTTAAAAATTAACTTTGTTTCAATTTTTATATATATTTATACAATTACTTTCTTCTGCAATATAATTCAAAAAAACGTTTAGATCTAGATGATGGCCTAAGGATAAAGGAGAGATATACATATATTCTACTACGGGGTAGTTAGTATGCCACAAGGATTCTGCTATGATGCTCCTTCATCTTTCTTAAAGACGAAAAGTTGATGTGATACTTCTAGACCTGTATTTTTCATCGTTGCGAAAAAAAAAGAGAGAGAGAGAGAGAAATATTTAAGTTTATTATTAAAAATTCGACCAATTATTATTTTTTTATCTCTAATCAACGAATTATCAAATTCGAAGCTTCAAAAGTTTTCGAAGTCACTGACAAACGTGATAGCTGATTAAGGATTTCATGATTAGAGTATTCTCTCTCTTTCGGGATATCGTCTACGTCGACAACGACATCGTCGCAACGTCGTTCTGTCTCTCGGGCTACAAACCAAATCTCTAGATTGAGTTCCCGGCGAACACACGTGCGAGCGAAACTAATCCGCGACTTCTTCCTCCCCTCTGCCTCTTCTCATTCTGCCATCCTATTCCTTTCCCGATGTCGATGTCGGGAACTCCGTCGAGACTAAGTCTTAAGTCTGGTTCTCATGTATAACGCGTAGCGATCCCGAAATTAGCCCAGAAACGAGAGGTGTCTACTGATAGTATTATTGGATTCGCGGATACATACTTAGATCTTTCTCTCTCAGCTTCCAGTCTTCCTAAATCCAATTTCTGGATTTTTAGTCTTTCCCCTCTTCCACTATTTCAAAGTGATATAAAAAAAGAGAACCATAACTAAATAATTAAATAATGATGACAAAATAGCTAATCTCCATCTACTCTTCACTTCTGCGTTCGAGATGAGCGTCAGAACTGGAAATGCAATTAGAGGCGGAAATGCGAACGATGAGGTATGCAAAAATATATATAAGCGGCAAACCAAATTAATGCGAATCGCGTGTGGACAAGACGTAATCAGTCGCAGCATGTATATATGAAAGGCTGACCTAAGCCTTCGTTATTGCACATGTATACGCCCGTGAAATTGCATTAGCGATCGCGTACATATTGAGAACGAAAGCGAGCGAGATTGTACATGGTATCCCCCGAATGTAATTCGTTAATATAAATACGAATCAATCATTTAACTATTTTTTAGCTTGAATTAATTAATAATAATAATAAATATTATAAATTAATATAATTATAAGTTACATATCATAAAATAATATAATTTATAAAAAGCGGGTTATTCTCTCTCTCTCTCTCTCTTTCTACAAGAAAAGTTTTATTTCATATATTATAATAAAGTATAAAATAATACTGATAAAATTGTAATCATAGTGAGACGCTCTCGAAATTCTACAATGCAATATATTTTTTTTTTATCCGAATAATGCAATTTTATCTAGTTTTTTAGAATATAATGTGGTTCACGTCGAGAGATTTTCAAGCGATGTCCGTTCGTTCGCTACCGCAATGCATAATGCATACGATGCACTTTCTCACGTGATCTCGTAACGGAGGAAGGAAAGATCACCCCGCAACGCCATCGGAGAGAATATCAATCCCGTAAAAGGATATCAATAGCGAATCGCGGATTCAGAGATGTCACTTCCTCGATTCGCGGATTCTATCTTCGATGTACCGAGCGCTTCGAAATATCTCGATGTCCCTCAATTTGCATCGCCAAAATAGAAAAATTTATGTTAAAGTATATATAAGCTCTATTAAGCGACAATACATTTTTTTTATATTAGCGCTCCAGACACACACACACACACACACATACACACACATATACATATACCCGTATAACGCAATTGTGATAAAGTATTTAGTCAACCACTATTAACGTTGACCGACTTTACCAGCCATTTTAATTATCCTGACTTACCATAACTTACATCATTATAAATGGCTCATATCACACTACGGTAGAATTGCGCTATTGATAAACCGTAGAATATTTTTCATTACAGCGTTATAAATACATACATGAATAATAATAACAATAATAACAATGCAGTATGTAATATGATATAATAGAGAGAAATATACTAAACTAAGAAAAAAGTGCTAATTGTAAGAAAAAATACTAAAAGAAATTTCATGAATTATTTAAAATAAATAAACATTATGTATAAAATCTGAACTTGAAAAATAAGCAATCAAAATGACATAACAATTGTGTTAACATTACCAACGTTAGCACAAAAGACTTAATAGGTTGACATAATTGAATTAATAATAACAACAACACAAAGAGTCGTTTTATATCTTTATAAAAATCATATTTGGATGCCATTGTAACGGGATTATAAACTTGAAAATGAATAAAAGCGCAGTTTCTTTCCGTGCAATTGCAGATGCAAATATACACATGCACCTTAGGCACCATACAACACACACACCTTTATACAAAACAAACATGCGAATTGTTAATGACGAAAATACAATATACAAACGTGAAAGGCAAACTTGCTATTCCCAAAGAAAT